AAACTGTATATTGTTTAAACATACAATCCGTTGTGAACACTCGTATTCTCGTAGTCATGCATAACTTGATGCATGGACATACTTCAAATACGGTCATTGTTGGAACTTCGCTTTATTAGTAAAATTCTATTGTTTTATACGAGCGTGAAAATCGTTAGGATAAACATCCAGTCAAATGAGGGAAATGTGCCTTTCTATCTCGCTGTTATTGACTCTGGCTCTAAAAGTGGGCAGGCTGGTCAATACTTCCCGACTTCAGTAAACAGTGGGTAGCTGGAGGCCTTCCTTGTGACCTATATTATCTTCGGCTCCAGGAGTTTAACCAGGTCTGGTTAACGGTGTGATCTACCATGCTGTTTTAGACTCCAACCTAATCACTGCAGCCAGTAGCAAGAGTTTGTAGAAATGTATTAAGTGCCCTCTTAATCGCACACCTTGTTCACAAAACTTATGTTTCAAAGGTTGGTAAAGCATTAAAGTGTCTAGGTTTACGAAAATCAATCATAGTTGAGTAGATGATGAAATAATTCTCATTTCGTAGAACTGGAGCATATAAAGCCTTTTAGCTTTGCTTAGTGTAGCCCTCCTGGTAGTCACTGATTCTATATATTTCAACATTTCCGTCTGTTCATTACTCTTAAACTTGATCCCACCGACACCTGAGCCTTGCTTACCTGGAGGTTACCTGGAGGTTATTCCGGGGATCAACGCCCCCGCGGCCCGGTCCATGACCAGGCCTCTCGATGGATCAGGGCCTGATCAACTAGGCTGTTACTGCTGGCCGCACGCAGTCCAACGTACGAGCCACAGCCCGGCTGATCCGGCACTGACTTGTGGCTCAGTGGAATAGCTAGTTGTGCCTGCCTTATATAAAGCCTGGTAATTTCTAGTGCATTGCAATACCTAAAATTTTGGAAATTAACGTGTGTACCACGAAACAGAATATCCAGGAAACCGGAATTGAAAGAAATATTTTTTTTTATCATAGCGCTTGAGTGATTTATACCTGTTTTTTCTATATCAATAAAGATTATCTAGATGTATATGAAAATGCCAGGAAAATGACGAAGGAAAAAACCCATTCAAAACAAGAAGCACTGCTTATGAAGGTAATATAAGTTTCAAATCAGTGTGCTCTTACGAGGCTGGATAGATAGAGCTGGAAAATGTACAGAGGTTGTTTCTGCCAATATAGAATCTATGAAACTTTAAAGCTACGAGGAATGCCTCAAAGCACTTTGTTCTCTCTAGAAGGGAGAGAAGATACTAAAGGGCCTCGTCTCTAATCTGTACACTGCCATAACTTATTAAAGTGAGATATTTGGGGGGATCGTGAATACAATTAGAGAACATTGTGTTTGTGTTAACTTCAGTGGTTCAGGACTTAGAAATCGTAAATATTTCCGGAAGGAAACTGGATCACACTTCTGCAAATTCCTGATCAACCTGTGTGGGTGTGTGATGCCAATGTGTTGGTCTGGGGGGGCCACAAGCACAAACAGCCTGGTTGACCAGGCTGGCAAAAGGGAAGCATAGCCTGAGGCCAGTCTGTGAAAGTAGAACCCTTGAAACGGGTCACGTAATCTGTTAAGTTTTTAGCGGGAGTTGACTATTATATTCACAATAAGCGCTAAACCCATGTTATTCAGCGTTGCCTCTAATAGTGTAAGACTCGAGAATACCAAAGGTTACAGAAATGCGGAGGAACGTGGGGGGGGGAGGGTAGTTAGCTAATTTGGTGGCGTCCATGGGAAGATAATGTCCAGTTAGCATTCCTTGTTTTTACTCCTTTATACATCTACGTGGCCGAGAAGAATAAAAGCGCTCTGCCGTGACAAACTATTCACCGATAACCACACAGTAGAGAGGAAACTTGGGACGACGTTATGTTGTTCAGGACGGCCCGAAACTTAAGTTATTTGTAAATCAGCATGGATATGTCTATTTTACCATTTCCCAATAAACGTAGATTTCTCTCCTCCCAACTCCTCTTTCTCATCCCCCTCCCCCCAAAAAAAAATTAGTTGGCAGTGTATCATAATTGCGGGTTAATTGCTAAATTTAATCTTTAAGGTATAATGCACCTTTGCTTGCTGCTGCTGTTGTAACCCATAATAATAAAGTACACACGCAGCGAAAGTTATGATAACTTTATTGGTCTGAGGACCTTTAGCAGCAATAGGTCGTAGGAGAGACTTTTCACTCACCAAGAGCTTTATCATTCTACTGATCAATAATTGAATAAAGTCCCTAGTGGGCGAAACGTTTACAAAATTAATTTGTATTGTGTGTGCGCGCGCGTGCGTACGTACATAAACATTTGTCAGCATCATTTATCTTGTATTAGCAACAGCCAAGTTACCAGAAAGTCAACGGGGAAGTTTGGTGTCAGCTGTGAGTGTATAAAAACCCTTGTAACCAGTCACATCTAAATGTCTGTCAATACATGGTTTCGCTCGATAACATTAACGTCATGTCACTTTTTTACATTAACGGGGAAGCTTTAAACCCTGGGGAATGGGAGGCAATCAGGCTTGATCCGAGGAAGGGGAAGGTAGTTAAAATTCCTTGGATCAAGAACTCTCTACAATTTTGATAAATTAATATAACTTTTTCCTGATAATTTTTTTCCGTGTGAACGTGATAAGTTAGCAATCTAGTGAAATGCAGAATCCAGGAAATACTTTGTTGGCATTCCTGCGTGGGGCACTTTTAAGGCTTGATTGCACAATTTTACACACTGCATATGTTAGCATTGTGTAGGGAAGGTTACTTTCCATATTTTTTCTCATCTTTGTCATGCTTTTTGCACCATGTTATTATTTCTGGAAATAGAGGGTCAGTAGTAACGCTGATTTATCATAGGGGCGGGGGATATGTAAATGGAGGAAAGTCGTCGGGAGCGGTTCCTGTCTGACAGTGATGAGTCACTGGTGTAATCTCACATTAGTTTTGTATGTGTACAATATTATGCATGTTTATATATAATTATATTATATATATTATATATATATATATATTATATATAATATATATATATATATATATATAATATATCCCTCTGGGTTTTCTTCTATTTTTCTTGTTCTTCGTGTTTATTTCCTGGAACAGAATTCTTCCTCCGCGTGTTTTAAGAAGCGACTAAAATGCCGGGAGCAAGGGGGCTAGTAACCCCTTCTCCTGTATAAATTACTAAATTTGAAAAGAGAAACTTTTGTTTTTCTTTTTGGGCCACCCTACCTCGGTGGGATACGGCTGGTTTGTTGAAAGATTATATATATATGTCGTGCCGAATAGGCAGAACTTGCGATCTTGGCTTAAATAGCAACGCTCATCTTGCCATATAGGACAAAGTGAAAATTTGTGTATGCAATAATTTCGCCAAAATCATTCTGAACCTAACGAACAAAATATATTTCACTGTTTGTTTAGTATTAAATTATTGTAAACAAATCTAAAATTTATTTAGTTGGGTTTGGCTAAAATAAATTGCTCTTTTTATAATAAGGTTAGGTAAGTTTTCTAAGATTTTTTGGTGCAAAATTAAAGATTTTTACATTAACATTAATGAAAAAAATATATCTTTAAACGTATAAGAGAAAATTTTCGAAAGGACTTAATTTTAAATGAGTTATTGCTAATTGACCAGTTTTACATATTCGGCACTATATATATATATATATATATATATATATATATATATATATATATATATAATATATATATATATATATATATATATATATATATATATATAAATACACACACACATACCCTTCTGGGGTTTCTTCTATTTTTCTTACTTCTTGTTCTTGTTTATTTCCTGTTATCTCCATGGGGAAGTGGATCAGAATTCTTCCTCCGTAAGCCATGCGTGTTGTAAGAGGCGACTAAAATGCCAGGAGCAAGGGGCTAGTAACCCCCTCTCCTGTATATATTACTAAATGTAAAAGGAGAACTTTCGTTTTTCCTTTTGGGCCACCCCGCCTCGGTGGGATACGGCCGGTGTGTTGAAAGAAAGATATATACGTATTTGTATGAAGTTACTAGGCATCGCGGAAAGAGAATTATGCACAGATTAAGACTATAAGGAAATGGTATAGCACAAGTTTCTTTTCAAGGGCTAATCTGTTTTATTTTTTCTCCAGGATCCTTGCATCAGTCCTAAGTTTTCAATAGTTTATCACTTTGTCTTCATGTAACTTGTAATTGCTTTCTTCTCCATTTCATCACGTGGCACCTACATTAAATTCCATTATCTATCCGACACTGCAAATGATCAGTTTATTCTTGTATTCTTGTTTGGATTTGAAGTTATCCTTATTACCTCTTATAAGATTTTTTCTAATTATATTTGGCAAACACAAATCCTATGGGGTCAGCTGGTAACGCCTGTGCACCGTCCTCATTTTTTCTTTCAATTATTACTGCACATTTTAAACACCACAGCAATCTAATTTACCAAACATGAGTAAGCCAGATAATATTTACAAGTGGTACATTTCGCTTACGGTGAGTCATTCGTGTTTTAAAATTATTATTGTTATATTATTATGAGGGAAGTTTTGTATGGGTCATTCAACTCTGGGGCATGGGGGGGGGCAATCAGGTTTGATCTAAGGAGGTGGAGATTAGGTCCAATTCCCTGGATCACTAGCGTCAGTTCACCTGTGTTTTAAATGTATTAATCCAGTATAGACACGTTCGGTTTTATGGAAAACTTTTTATAGATAAAAGTAATTAATGTGAAATTTCCGCAGTCATTTCTAACGGAACATTTTGCACGTCTCCTGCATTGGGTTTGTTCTAGCTTTGATTTAGCGCTGTAGCCCTCTGATTATTATTTCATCTATTATTATTTCATTAATTATTATTCAGACTAATTCCTGCAGATGTTATCGAGGCAGGAGATACCATGCAAATTTGTTTAAATTCAACTAAGTTTTTAATGAAATGTTTAGTAAATATTAGTTATTAATTGTAACTATTTCTTGGCGTAGCTCCAGGGCCGGAGCACAAGACTGCAGCTCATTACATGGAAGGGGTGTTTAACTTGGAGCTGAGGAAGGACTTTATCTCCAGCACCCACGCTCACCACCCAGACCTGAGTCGCTTCCACACACACACAGCCAACACTAACACCTCCCAGCCAACGACGAACGGCGAGCCTCCTAGCGCCTCTGAAACGTGAGTTACCCAGTGTAAAGTTAACTAGGATTTTAATCAGCGTGGCTGAGCATGTACGCAGTGATTTAAGAAGAGCCTGCATTGTGAACACTGAAACCTTGTGCATTTATTAGTTCCTTTTATACTTGCATTGCGGAACTTGCATGATTCACTTCATACCTTCCTTGGATCAGACTTAATTCTCCCATTCCCCCAAGCCTACCCCTGCGGGTTTAGCGCTTCCACAGATATATGATTCAATAGTGTAATGTGGTTTCTATAATCATGCTGCAGGTTAATAAGAGAACGTGGTGTTAATTGACAATTTTTACCCTAACAACTTCAGGGTGATGACAAATACGGGTGGAACATTACTAATGTTTTATTGGTAGCTATTTGTCTACATTTCTTTACATAAATTTAGGCAATATTTACATATCGGCTAGGAAACTGCAGTTTACTCTGATGTGGAATATTGTGTAAATTTAATTTACGTGAAGGATGCTTTCAGGGAGTCAACGCTCCACTCGGTCCTGTCCCAGACCAGTCCTGGTCAGGGGGCGGCGCAGAGGGAACTGAAGCCTCCAAATAATAATGGTTTAAAGTTCCATAGCCCCCCTTCTCCGACCAGACTGCTACCCCTAACACCCCATTCCCTTTACATATAAAACTTCTGGACCGCCCTTTATCCTGGTGGATAACCTACTGTTCATGGTTGTATACACGATGGTGCATATCTCGGTCGAAATTAGGTGTGTTTAGACAGGACTGAGCAGGTTACACGCAGCCTTAATAACTGTAGTCGATGGGCTTTAAACGCAGTTAACTAGCTAGCCTACGGTTTGAATGTTTCACGCTTAATTCACTTCAATGTTAATACCCGATAATAGATCCAGCGTTATTAATTTTTAATTAATGCAAAATACAGGCGTCAATCCTGTTAGAATTCTAAGCCAGTAAATTTATTGAAATGTTTTTAATTAAGATATGCTGGTTATTAATAGTATCGCCTCTTAAGTAAACTGTACAATATGGGGTGATAGTTTTATCACCTTTACTCGGGAACACCTGAATGCCATACTCTGCAGCTGTAACATGTGTGCTCAGTGCTGCCACTTCTCTGTAGGAATACAAGGTAGGCGGTGTATTAAATAATTATCAATAACTTAGCCATCACGATCTGTTTGAAATAATTTTCATTATTACTACAAGCTAGTTATTTAAACTGTGTTTGAATGCTTTTAGAGTTTTATTCATGTCAGGCGCTAAACGTGCATGGTCAAGCCGTATGACGCATTGAGTTTATCGGCGCAGTGTAAAGCCTCTAGTGTCGTTATGCTGTAGTTACCATGTTGTGATCCCCGAATGCACTAAATTTTTGTAGTCACACATCCTAGTTTCAACCATCACTAAAAATCCTTTCAATAGTTTACAAGCAAGAGTTTGGTTTATCGACTAATGTAAAAATCTGCGATATTGATGATAATTTCGAAGAAAGCATCAGACAGATGGTTTACAGGCGACCTGATCTCCGTCGTGCTCTGAGTGAGAGGACTCTCTCAGGATCATCCTGGACTAGTTATAGTCCCACCAGTGCTTACGTTCTTGTTGATACTTTGTAAGCAACTCGTCAACTAAGGTTCTGAGTGCGTGTACGCCTGGTTCAACTCATCCTAAGTGAATATGGGATTTAGTGTAATCAGAATTTACAGGAAAACTTACTATGCCACAATTTTTGTTTAATTATAATTTCCCTGAGTTTGTCACATTAAGAACACATTCTCTGGTTATTTTTTTTTTTACTGTTAGAATTTGCTAATTTTGGTTAATGTATGTCCAACTTCTTTAGCAAAAACTTACACCTGCAACCCCAGTTCACCTAGTAGTAAATAGGCACTTGTGTGCTAATTATTGTGGATGGGATCCGGGAGGTGGGATCAGAGGCCTTAGATGGAGCTGGACTTTGAAATGAGCTGAGATAGACTAACAGATCTTGTTCCTTGGGAGAACAAATTGCCTTTGTTGGAATAAAATAGTTACATTAATTTGGATTAAATTTTAACTAAATGGTAGTTCTAAAAATTTTTAATACTTTTCTCAAGGGAAGTTTCTTGTTGCTGGTGAGGGGATTTTGATATGAGAAATGGGACTTGTCCTCCCCTTCATTTTACCGAATCTGGTAGCCTTCCATTCCTCATGTGCTGTATGACTATGCCTTTTATAATAATTTATTCACATTTTCATAACTATATTTCTGTGCAGTGGAAACTTGGCATATACTGTACCATGAAGGAATATATACTGGACCATGAAGTTAAAAAGTAAATACAATACAGTACCATGCAAATCTTGTAAATTTTATTACCATGTGTAACAAATAGGCTAATGACTTGCTTTTGTTGTACAGATCAAATGAAAAGGCACCCTTACCAGCAGACTCTGCCTACTTCACGACCTCAGAGAGCAAAGCCAAGATGCTGACAAGACTACGGGGTAGTAACAATAATTTACATGATGGCATCACTGATCAGCAGCAACTCCACAAGAAGAAGGTATGTTTGTTAAAAAAAATAAAGTTCCAGGTTAGTTTTCTTCATAATCAATACATTTTACATGGTTTAATGTAAGCTTTTGTTAGAGAATAGGTACATGGAATCAACACTTCCCCCTCCTCAGTGTACTTTCCAAGTTGTTTATGGGGGGGGGGGGGATGCTCCTGATCCTGCCTCGTTGGTTGACATCACCGATTTCTTCCTTTGAAGGTTTTGTTGCCTCCAGCACTTCATTGAAATTCTTCCACTTCAGTCACCATGAAATTAAAGAAATGTTTCCTGATATTCCTGTGGCTTGTCTGTGTCCTCAACTTCCACCTGTGTCCCCTTGATCCTGGTTATTTTAATTTAAAGTCTGTAATCATGTCATAGGTTCAGCTCTGTCAGCCTCGTATATTGCATTTGTCTATTCTAGTACTAGTTTGGTTGCAAACCTTTGGATGTTTGAGTTGCACATATTTGACCAGCTATGGGCTCCATGCTTTGTCTACATGTTCATTGAATGGTCTAACATATGGTATGTACAGGAGGCCCTCCACATTTGCGAGGGTTAGGGGATCAAGAACCTCGCGAATGTTTGGTGCACAGATGTGATGTAGGGAAATAATAATACTGTACTGTAGCATTCACAAATGTTTTCATGTGCAAATATATTGTAGGGAAATACAATAATAGCATTTATTTAGCCTAACAATACTGCTTCCTTAACCTATTGAACCAGTCATAAAACACATGAAAACATAACATAAAACACATGAAATCCAGGCAGCTGGGCATTTGCAAATGTTCGAAGCTTGCGAAAGTAGAACTCACGAACATGGAGGGCCTCCTGTATTAAAATTTGAAGGATTCTTTATTCAAATTCTTGACTGCTGTTTTTGTAATCTTGCATATGCTGCTTTTGTAGTTGTGTAATTTTGGCAGTATGATGGCATTGTATCTTGTGTAATCCTGGTGATATGGTGATGTTAAATTTACTCTCATGGCCGTGTCATTCTATTGACCACTGCTGCTTTCTTTTCAGTTTACCCATACCTTCTCCAGTTTGCATGACCTTGCATTTTTTTTATTGAACTCGAATCCTTTTTGCTGGATCACATCTTCAGCTGTTGAGGTATTGCTGGTGTTTATCCCTGACTTCCTTTGTTTTTTATTCTTCTCAGTGTGTACATTGCATTTACTTTAATACCTACATTAGGAGTTTAAATATTTTTGATAGTGTAACATTTTACATATTTACAAAAATTGTAGGAGGAGCTGGTGGCAAGCATTGGACGTAAGCTTGAAATCCTGCGAGCAGAACGGGAAGCCATCAAGGAGGAGATGCGTTTGAATCAAGAATTAGGAACAGAAGTGACATCCAAAGTGGAAGCAAGAGCCAGGCTAGCAGAGGCTGAGAAATACAAGCTGCATGTTGAAGAGATTGATAAAATTACTTCATTACTCTTAGGGCTTTCTGGAAGGCTTGCCCGAGCAGAAAATGCCTTAATTATGCTGGTTGATGATGCTGATCCAGAGGAAAAGGTATGCATTTATACGAGGGACATTTTAATGCATTTATTATTATAATGTTCATTTTGATATCTTAAAATATAAAGTCCCCAAAAGGACACTTCACATATTTAACTTGCTACATGTGTTACTGGCCATATTTTAGGAGTGCAAATCCCCCCTAAAAATGGAGTTGTGACAGCCCCTAAGGGCCTCAAGTCACTTGTGAAATTAAGTGCCTGTATGCTTCTGTAAATCTAAACTTAATTTACGTTAAAAATTTTATTGAAAAGCTGTAAGATAATTTTCCTGACATTTTCAACAATACAAATAAAGGAAGGGATTTATGGAGGGCAGTAGCAGCAGATGTAGACATTGCCAAGAGACAACCCACCCTCACATGTGCTTGTTTATTTTTATATATTTTTTTTTCCAACAAACTGGCCATATCCCACCGAAGCAGGGTGAGCTAGAAAGAAAAACAAAAGTTTTTCTCTTTAAATTTAGTAATTTATACAGAAGGATTTACTAGTCCCTTGCTCCCAGTATTTATTCACATTCACAAAATAAGAGTTTAACAACCCAAGTGATAAATTGACAACATATTCAGTTTACTCTCATTTGAACTATAATTACGCAAACAGAGAAGCAGAGGCTATATATATAAATATTGGTAGAGTCCCTCTCACATGGGCTTCTGAGGTGATAAACAATTTATATATAAGCATTTCCAGTATCCTCACATTTTAGCCCTAGTGATAGTGAATGTAGACGAAGCATGTGTTGTTGACTGATATATGGAAGCATTTCATTTAGTCCCATTTGTTCATTGGGCCTGACTTTCATGGTGATGAATGAAGACACAATATTGTGACTTACTAGGTAGTAGGTTGGTAGACAGCAACCACCCAGGGAGGTACTACTGTCCTACTAAGTGAGTGTAAAATGAAAGCATAATATTGTTTTATATGATGGTAGGATTGTTGGTGTCTTTTTTTTGTCTCATAAACATGCAACATTTCAGATATGTCTTGCTACTTCTACTTCCACTTAGGTCACACTACACTTGCATGTACAAGCATGTATATACACACCCCTCTGGGTTTTCTTCTATTTTCTGACTATTTCATGTTCATTCCCTCTTATCTCCATGGGAAAGTGGAACAATTCTTCCTTCATGAGCCATGTGTGTCTAAAGAGGCAACTAAAATACCAGGGGCAAGGGGCCAGTAATCCCCTCTCCTGTATACACTACGTACTAAATTTAAAAGGAGAAACTCGTTTTTCTTTTTGGGCCACCCTGCCTCGGTGGGATGCAGCCGGTTTGTTGAAAGAAGTGCTCTGCTAATAAAAATTCACCAAGTTAACAATGTGTATTTGCAGATTTTGTAATATACTAGGCCTTCACTTTGAAGTTCCATTTTATATTTTCTCTTGGCTAATATTTACCATCAATCTCAGTAATCCACTCTTCATTTATGATTAACTTTTTGATGGGCCTGTGGTATCCATCTGATAATATTTTTACCTTCAGAATGCAATAATACCTTTTCCTAAATCTTCCTAATAATTTCTTTGTGCACAGTTTGTTACTCATGTCTGTTCTTAACTTGTGCCAATGAAATTCTTTTACAGAGAATTCTTGAGAGTAAACGTGACAAGTTAAGTGAGCAGTTAGAAGAGGCAAAGAGACTCAAAGAGAACATTGATCGTAGAGCAATACAAGTAAGTGTCCACCAGACTGTCTTAGTATTTTAATCATTTCTTCTTACCAAGGCTACTTCAAATATAGAACTATTGCTTTTTCCAAAGGCTATGCAGCTCTTATTGATTTTTTGATCCAGTTAGTTTTCTTTTAAGGATTAATCACTAATTACCATCCTTAGTAATGGGGAGCACCAAACTGGTAGGGGTCATACAGTGCCTAGGGAAAGGGGAAGAATGGAAGGCAATCAGGGTTTATCCAAGGGAAGATATGACCAATTTCTTGGATGATGATCCCCTTGAGGGGTCATTGACCACAAATACCTGTTCAATAACTTGTTCAAGGAAGGGTGTTAATATGATGTAGAATAATGTCCAAAAAATTTAATGAATCCACTCCTTGCAGTGAATGACCCATCCAGTTTTAGTGCTTCACATTCACAATATTTGTTTTTGTCTAAGTTTGTAGTGCTCTAATGCTTTTAAGACAAGGAAAGAAAATAAAAACACTGGTTTCAGGAGGCTATTGCATGTAGCATTTCAATATTCATGAAATTACACAAACTATGGTGCACATATGCTTAATATCAGGTTTTCATTTTTTAGGGGGGATTGTTGAGATTAAGTTGTAATTATTGAAGCTTGCTGGAAGTCCAAGCGAGGGCTTGGATTTCCAAGCAAGTGTACGTGAGCGTATTTGATAGGAGTGAATGGAGACAAATGGTTTTTTAATACTTGACATACTGTTGAAAGTGTGAGAAAAAGCAACATTTATGAAGGGATTCAGGGAAACCAGCAGGCTGGACTTTGCCTGGAGATGGGAAGTACAGTGTCTACACTCTGAAGGAGGGGTGTTAATATTGCAGTTTTATAACTGTAGTGTAAAGCACCCCTCTGACAAGACAGTGATGGGGTGAATGAAGAAAGTTTTTCTTTTTCGGGCCACCCCGCCTTGGTGGGAATCGGCCGATGTGTTAAAATAGCTAAGTTTCAATGCTTTCAGGTAATCTCAAAACAAATATTCAACCCACATTTTAGTACAAAAAGAGGGATCATTTATACTATAATTGGAAGTGCTCAACACACAGGGACTTATACAGCACATGGGGAATTAGGAAATCAGATTTGATCAAGGGAAGGGAAAGATAGGGCCATTCTTTTGGGTCAAGGATCCCTGAGGTAAGGAAAATAAATTTGATTACATTTCGAATCATTACGTATTAAACCTGTGGGAATTAGAGGCTGGGGTGGTAGATAATTAGGATTGATCTGAGGAAGGAGAGGGTAATTCCAGTTCCTTGGATCAAAAACCCTTTACCAACATCGGGACATATTATGTAATGGTAAAAGATGTTTGAATAAGGTTAATAGGATTTTGTGCTGTAGAGTATTTGCTTAATGTTCCACCCATTGGTTATAAGTTTAGGGTTAACCCTTTGACTATTTAGGTCGTATGTATACGCCTTACGAGCACTGTGTTTGATGTATATATACTCATAAATTCTAGCGGCTTCAAATCAAGCAGGAGAAAGCTGGTAGGCCCACATGTGAGAGAATGGGTCTGTGTGGTCAGTGTGCACCATCTAAAAAAAATCTTGCAGTAAGCAGTGCATAATGAGAAAAAAAAAAAACTCCTACCGTTTTTTTTTTTAATTAAAATGCCGACTTTGTGGTCTATTTTAGTATAGTATTTATGGTTGTATTCTCGTTTTCTTGGTCTCATTTAATAGAATGGAAAACATATTATAGAAAAAGAGGTAATTTTGATTGATTTTACTATGAAAAGAACCTTGAAATGGAGCTCAAAGTAGGGGAGTTGTTTGATTTTTGCCGATGGTCAAAAGTAAACAAATGATGTCATTTTCCAATAAATGTCCAAGTAGCCATTCTAATATGCAGTCATGAATGGGTTGACATTATTTATACAATTATTACAATATTGCAGTAGTCTGCATAACAGTAAATCTTCTATTTCTTGTTTGAATAAAAATTCAAAATAGAAAGCAAGAGTAATTTCAGAGGGGCCTGGAGACATGACTGATGAACAAAGAAAATGTTATTTTAGAGCCAGGAATGTCTGCATTGTTCATTCTGGACCCTATTTTGAAATTGTCATATTTTTTATTAATTTTCGTGAAATTGGCCAAATTGCAAATTTCTGACCACGTTATTGGGTAGTTGAAATTGGTAAATGGGCAGTTTCTTATACTCAATCGATAGAAAAAATGGAGTTCTAAAGAAATAGCTATGAGTTTGGTCGACTGGAACAATGGAATTAGCTGAAAATAGGGCTCAATGTGGGCGAAATCTCAGATTAGTAAATATTGCCGAGGCTGCTAACTTCGCGAGAGCGTAATTCCATCAGTTTTCCATCAAATTTCATTCTTTTGGTGTCATTACAATTGGGAAAAGATTCTATCATTTCATAAGAAAAAAACATTTTTTTTTTGTATATTTTGTGACACCAGGAGACACCTCAGGATTGGGGATTGTGACAGTCAAGGGGTTAAATATGCCATAAGGACTGTCAGAACACACAGCCTAGCTGTCTGTTCTGACTAGTTACTGGAATGGAGATGAAAAGTGCATTTTGGGAATTGGAGTGAGTTTAAGAGAACATGCATCTATTCACTGGCAGGCAGATGCATTTGAAAAGAATACAAAACCATCTGAAAAGCTTTAGAAAAATGTATTTAATGTTAACTGTTTATTCACTGTGAATACATTGGAGTTTTGTACTCTACACATTATTATAGGTCTGCATTTAAATTGCACGTTATGTTGGATAACAATGATGGCTTGAATGATCCTGATATTGAGGTAGTGTTTCAGGAAGTGCTCTTGTACATATGGCTTCAAGAACTCTCAAACATAACTGGGGAACAAATTTGCACAAAACATTACTGAACCAAGAGATTACTCTTTCTTCGAACTATTGTCTTTAATATTGCATGACAATTCTGGCATGTTACCCAACTTAAGGACTTTTGGAGTAAATCTTCAGGATTCTTATCAGTTCAAATTTGTAGTCCTGTTTGGCACCATTAACCCTTTAACTGTCCAAATATAGATCTACGTGTTTACTGCTATCACTCTGAATAGTTTAATTTTTTTTTTTTTTTAAGTACTAGCATTATCAAGATATGTGGCAAAGTCCTGCTGCTTGCAGATTTTTTTTGTTTTGATAATTACAATTTATAGTAATCTTGTGATAGAGGCAATCTTTGTTCTTACACACAGTGGAATCTGGTTTTTGATGACTTGTCAAAATTTTGTCCCAGTTTTCGTTCACCTTGGTTTTCATTGGTCTGCTGTACCGAATGTGTCCGCCTTCCCTCACCCACACAAAGCATCCCATGCGTTCTGAGTCAGTCTGGCTTTGTTTCTAGTCAAGTGAGTATTACTGTGTGTATCTGAAACATTTTGTAATCATTGTTTTTTGTGCTTGTTTGAGTGCGACTGCTAAATAAGCCACCATTGGGTTTTGGGGGAAGTCCTTTAGGGTTGGATGTGAAAGAGTTGGTGGATGACCACAGGGAAGAGCTAACCACTGAAGAGCTGCAACACCTTCAACTGGAACAGCAACAGATTGCAGCTGAGGAAATTGCTTCAGAGGAGGAGGAAGAGAGGGGAGAATGTGCCTTCTTCAGTGATTAAGGATGTGTGCAAAGTGGAGTGAGTTGCAAAGTTTTGTAGAGAAATATCACCCTAACAAAGCTGCTGCAACACGTTCAATGACGGTGCCTCATCCCATTTTAGGCAAATCTTAGAGATGCCAGAAACAGACCTCTCTGGACATTTTTTTTTTTTTTTTTTATGCGACAGGGGTCCAGTGCTAGTAAAAGACAAAGAAGAGAAGTAACCCCAGATAGGGACTTGATACTCGAAATCCTTATGGAGGGGGATTCCCCTTCCAGCCAATAACCGCTTCCTCCTCGGGTCTTCCATACGCCAACAAGTCTTCAATAAAGGTAAAAGTGATGTTGAATGTTCATTTATCCATTTTATTAGTCCTTTATATTTCTCATTGTTTTCTGTATGTAAAGCTATAGTTATTCTCTATAAAATGTATTTTTTGTTAATTTTTGGGTGTCTGGAACAGATTAATTGGATTTACATTATTTCTTATGGGAAATTTTGCTTCTGTTTTCGTCAGACTTTCTGGAATGAATTGATAACCGAGGTTCCACTGTATTAAGTAACCAGTCACAAACACATTGACAAGTGAACGTGTTCACCTTCCTCAGTCACGTACTATTATCTAGAAATTTTTTATATACAAATTTATAGGTCCCAGCAATGTCTTTAGAAGTGCTGGAGTATAAGAAACACCTTGAAGCAGTGCCAGAGTGGCACTTGAAATTATGGTGCCATCACTCAACACAGCTGCACCATCAACACTACCCCCTGTGAACCTTGGCATGTTTTCTATTTTTTTTTCTCACTGTTCCACCCACAAAAGTAACTGTCTTTGTCTATTGCTGTCTACCTACCTGTCTCTCTCATAGAGAGCCACTCATGAACCTGATCGTAAGCTAGATTTTCGAACAGGTATTACACAAATTGAAGAATCGTCATATCTGTACAAGTGGAAATGTACAACAAGCCAAAATGTGTACTACTTGCCACAGTAATGCTTATATGCCTTATATCTACAATCACAGTATAGCACTTAGGCTTTATTTGGGTTATCTTGGGTAATTTACACTATGAAAACTGTACTTGTGTGTATAGTTACTTAGTCCTTGATTCTATTAAAGGAATGCCTGTCATTCAAGCAATTATGTTGGCTTGGTATATATTTTTTGAAGGACAGGCATCCCTTGAACAGAATGATTACATTTAAGGCACAGGTACACATAAGTAGTTAGTGTATATTACCTAGGATCCTCCCCCCCCCCCCCCAAAAAAAAAAAAATGCTAAACTGTGCTTGTTGATACGAGGCATAAGCATAGTTGAGGTGAGTAATACACATTTTGGCCATGGTTGTATGTTTCCACTTGTGCAGATATGATGATTCTGCAACCTGTGTAGTACCTGTTCAAAAGTCTAGTTGACTATCGGGTTCATAAGCTAGGCTGGCCAGACACCCACCCACCCAGCCGAACATACATTGCAGAATACTTTCTCTTGGGGCATAGGTGATAGGACATCCTGGCAGGATGACTACCAGTGGTGTCAAAATTGAATGGATGTGGCACAAATGTTGCACATGGGTTATCTATTTTTTTTTTTTTTTATGTATGTCCTCAACCACTTGTGGCCACATACATCTTAGAGCTACTAAACTCTTGGTTAACATCACTTGCCTCCTAAAAGGAGTGTTAATATGACATAGCATTAGTGAATCCCTGTTTGCATTAGCTGGTGGTTCCAGGTATTTTTTTTTTTTTTAGTACTGTGCTCACTGAATATTAAGACCTATAATGCGAAATTTGAAGGTAGGAAAAATGGAACATAGATCTACATTTTGACAAAGGGTTAATATGGAAATAGGCCTTATCTATCAATAACAATGAAGGTTATCTTCACATTTATCAAGAAATAAATGGGAAAACACATAGTACATTTTCCAAAACCTTCCATTTTCAAGTTTCTGAATTGTGTAAAAGTTTTTCAAAGGCCAGTAAACCAATTTCTTAATATTTCATACTCTTACAACTGGGGCACATCTTGGGTGGACAGATGAACAAAAGCTCCAAGTTTCTTGAAACCTCGACTAAGAATAGAGTTAAAATTTCCACACGTAATCTCTGAGGAGCAACAGTACCATATGAACTGTATCCAAATCTTCAAGGGCTTGCCTGCAAAAGACAATATATGGTTAATCAAAGGTATAACTATGCACAGATATGTTGGATAAGCATGGTACACCCTGTATTTTAAAAATTACATATCTTAAGAACAGTTCCATACAGGAAGATGTCACACCTACAGCAGACTTGTATATCAAATTTCAGTACCCGATTAACCCTTTAAGGGAAGGTTTTTTTTCTTCTTCTTTAAACTTGCTTTCTGCAAATTCTTCAAACAACTACATTCCTCCCCCCACATGGCTTTTTACAGACCTGTCCACTCTGATAACTAATATAAATATTTTATTTGCAGGTTTCCAAGGTGCTAAACCAGTATTTAACAGAGGATCAGTATGCTGACTATGACCACTTCATCAAGATGAAGGCAAAGCTTATAATGGATGCAAGAGAAATAGACGACAAGATAAAGCTGGGGGAAGAACAGCAGCAGGCCTTACGAGAAACGATGTTTAAGAACCCGTGAACATGAGAGTAGTGGAAAGTGTCCAAATACACAGCTTTCATTTATATGTATGGTACTTTGAAATCTATCATGCCAAGTGTAGTGATTACACAAGTTGGTAATGAGTTATAAAATCATTTGAACATGATGAGGTTAGAATTCTGCATGGGACTAATGTACAATAACAAGAGTATAATTCTAAAGGCAACTGAAGATATGTCACTTAATATTCAGAATAAAAAAACTTTCCAAACTTTAGTGATACAAAGGATCATGCAGACAACTGAAGATAGTTTATACAGTATAGATTATGAACACGTTTTTATAAAAATCAGGTATTTTGTATTACTATAACAAGATAATGGCATAATATATTTTATATCTACTAAGCCAGTATTTCATTATATACAGAGTTGTAAAGTGATGTGGGATGAACCTTTCTGCTGGCATTTTATGAATGGCATCATATTTATGTTACTGTGACTTGTGATTTTTCAAATATTTATTTATGTGCGAAAGTTAAATGAGAGAATTGGATGCAGCACATAAAGAACTGTATATTGTAGCCAGAGTTTATATTTGAGGATACTAGCATTGGCGGCAGCAGCACTGTTGCTGTCTTGCAGAGCTAACATGAACATTTAGTGGGCACTTAAATTCTGCAAGAAATGGGCATAAATACAGTGTAATTTTGTTATTAAATATATTTACTCTTGAGGCTTATTTCTATTAAGTTAATATACTGGCAGTGCAATGAATATCAAGGCAGTATTTACTCAAAATACATTGAGTTTGCTGTTAACACAACTCTCCTTGCATCTTATGGATTCAAGGAAGAGTGTGAATTTGAACTAATTATGTCCTATAAGTAAAACACATATTGTATGCATGAAGAACACCTCGTACCATTTGGAAGAAAACCATCTTCTCATGGCATTTTATGATATTCATATAATGGCTTTTCTTGAGGGGTTTAGTTTGACTTCATGCTGTATTATGATTCCTTGTAATCTCTGTGTATACTGTTGATTCTGTGATGCTTTTTATGCTTGGTGTGTTTTGGTAATTTTTTCAGTTATATGAATAATTATTAAGGAAAGCTTGTACCCATGTACACACACAGCTGTGCTCATCTTTTATATACTATCAGCAGTCCTATCTTAACACTGTCGCTTTAACTACATAATAAGCCAAATGGTTTTGAAGGTTGGGCAACACAACCCATCATGGAATACTTCATTAGTCCATTATAATTTTACTGTTTATTAGTAAATATATCATGCCCCCACTGGCAGCTGGCCCACTAAATGAAGTCTGGACATTCAGGGTAGACCCAGCAAGAATTATTAGTGCCACATTGTACATATTAGTTGTTTAATGGATGCCAAAAGACCGTCCTGTTCCTTGATATCTATCTACTAACTTTAAAAGAAATTATTGGTTTTATACATTTAAGACTAGTTGCAAAGCAACAGTTCTGTTGTACAGTAGTGCTTGTTTATAATGTATGCCAAATTCTATCATTCTTCTACCTAGAAGAAATAAAAATGAGTATTATACCCGACTATTATTCCCTACCAGTATGTGCTAATCTCAAGAGGGCATGTCAAAGGTCATGCTTTTTTTTTCATCCTACCATGTCAGAATCAAAAGAATTTGCACTTTTCCAGAATTATCCCCTTCAAGTAGGGTATCCTGATGTAGGGAATTTTATTTACCCCCCACTCAGTCAAACCTGAGTGCCTTTTGTATAGTGTCTGAGGTAAAAACCCCTATGGGTTTATCACTTTCCCCCTAATTATAATTTCAAGTACACAATGAATCAAGCCACAATATCTCCACCCAAAAGTGAAGGTATCGTACTTAATACTGCCAGAACCTTAAAGCCCTTCAAGGATTCAATAAACCTTCGATTAAGACTTAGGAAAACATGACAATTCTGAAACAAAATCCACTGGTTACAGATAGCCATTATGATCATGGTAAAACACTCTTCTCTATCCACCACAATTGCAATTACTGGTCATCCATTTGTTTCCTTACCCCATAATCTTAAATATGCTCAACACCTACAACCACTGAATTTCAAGTTTCACAAAGCTAGTCCCTAATTTTACTTTCTTATTTATTATCACACTGGCCGATTCCCACCAAGGCAGGGTGGCCCGAAAAAGAAAAACTTTCACCATCATTCACTCCATCACTGTCTTGCCAGAAGGGTGCTTTACACTACAGTTTTTAAACTGCAACATTAACACCCCTCCTTCAGAGTGCAGGCACTGTACTTCCCATCTCCAGGACTCAAGTCCGGCCTGCCGGTTTCCCTGAATCCCTTCATAAATGTTACTTTGCTCACACTCCAACAGCACGTCAAGTATTAAAAACCATTTGTCTCCATTCACTCCTATCATTCTTCTCTCCATAATATTTACACACTTCTCTCTGCCTCCTGGCTGCAATGTTTGACCATAGCTTTGCATCCATACAAGTGTTGGCATCACTAAGTTACACTTCATTTTTCATTCATTACATCATGGGGAAACACTAAACCCGTAGGAGCCACACAGCTCCTAGAAAATGGGAGGTAATTAGGGTTGATACAAGGAAAAGGTAACTCCAACCTCAGGGCAAGAGCACTTCAGCAGTCTCAAAGAGCTTTGCATCCACTGTTATATCGATGAATGCCTCAACACCTACCTTTTTTTTTTTTTTTTTTACCTGCCATACTGATCCCATTCCCTCCAGGGAAGCTCTTCAAGGAACTGGACATGTTTTTGCCTTTTCTTAAATCTATCCTGATTTTTTCTCCAGTCATATGATCATGATCAACTATGAGTTTGGTGCTCCTCCCATGAATAAAAATAACCTTTGTTTACAAGTACACATGTACAATTTATACAGACCTACCTGATATCAATGAGACGTACTATAAAAAAAAAAAAAAACTCTATGCAGAGCATTTCAGGCAAATCAGGTTTTGTTCCTAGGATGTGACCTACACCAGTTGGCTAACACCCAGGTACCTATTTACTGCTAGGTGAACAGGGACAGCAGGTCTTAAGGAATTGCCCCAATGTTTCCACCCACAGACAATGTGTGAGGCGAGTGCACTAGCAACCAAGCAATGGGAGACCTCGTGAACGTTACAACTGATTCATCTTGTTATTTGCACACCCGCGCCCGCCCATACACTCTAATACTGCACCTAAATACTAGTCACTTGCTTAATCTGACACCCCTTAAGGAAACAAACACAAGGATACGGGCCAAAAAACTCAGCTTATGAAGATATTTTGACTTCACTGAGATTATGAATGTGAAAACTGCAAGATTTAATAATTTGACTGACATAGCCAACACCCAGATCCCTCACTAATTCCACAGCTGCAAACTGACAGAACTACAAAGGCAGCAAAATCATGACCCTGTCAAGGAAAACCTCAGGTGGGTACAATCAAAATTGTCCTACCCTCCTTTGGTTTCGATTTTCTTTTTGTCATGCAAGGCTGAATATCCACCAAAAGAGAACTAAAGCAGAGTTTTGCATCTTCTACTTTTAGAACCCAGATTAGTCTTGTGTACTGTCAGAATAAAAATTATAATCAACCCACTGGGTACGCAACAGTTAAGCCATTAACAGTAAACAATATGGGTCCAAGAACAGAGCTCTGAGAAATGCCACAGAGAAGAATCTGCTTCAAATGTGCCAGTAAGCCCACTGCAGTACATCTCCAATCTTTACATAACTACACTATATTGATGATATAATGATAATCAAGAGAGACTATATGCAAAACATCCTCAACATCAAGCCAACCATAAAATACACATTAGAGAAGGAGAGGGACAACCATCTACCATTTTTGAATGCCTTATACACAAGTAATGAAAGTATTGACTCTTAAATTTTTAAGGAAGCCCACCAATAAAGATCACCTCATTCACTTCTATTTACACCACGATGCCAGAACTAATGGGGTGTCACCACTGGTTTCTTCCTTAAGAGCCTTGGAGGATCTCTACCCATGCTTTCTCAAGGAGTGTGAATGTATCTTGCACATCTCTGTAAAGCTAGTATCCATCATACTTCATCTCTGATTGTAGAAAGTGCCCCCTACACATTAGATATAACAATGACAACATACATTGGATCTTCCATTAGGTACAAAATCCTTCTTTCTCCAGCACTCGTAGGCATCAATATTCAAGTAGAAACCACTTCCATGGCCATCCATCATCAAGTACCTGGCTAGACCAACCCATCAATATTTGAGAAACTAATACTGGTGTGTATAGGCTCCTATGTGGGGGATTCAATAAACATACATAAGGGAAACAAGCAAGATCATGGACCAACATGTTAAAGAACACACAAATGCCTGCAGCTATAATATAAACAATGCACGTGTCTAACACTGTAGCACACACATCACATCATGAAGTGGGAAGGAGCAGAACAGCTGATTGTGGAGAATGATTTACTAAGACACTGGTGCTGGAAGTCTCAATGACTAACTTCTAACACAATCACAAAAACTCAGGGAGTTTCAGTATCTCCAGTACTGTGGCCAAAGTGATTCTGCCCCACCAAAACACTGCCTTGGGTGACAAAAGAATGAGCACACATAGCAATGGGCTAATGTTAGGCACAGTCTTACCAATTTCAAACCTCACCAACTCATTTCTGACAAGTGACCCATTTTTCTGAGTTGCACCTGCCTCTCTCTGATAAAAAAAAATACTGTGGTTTTAGCTGCCTCTATTACGACTGATCAAGACATGTCTTTAGTGTACATATGTCTCATCAAAAACAACCCTAGCAACACATACTAGGCAGGTCTTACTGAAATCCAACCCTACTCACTTGTGTATCTGGCTAACCTATTTTTAAAGCTAAACCAATATTTTAATATTTTCCTATATCCTTTCTAAATCTAAATTTATTAATTTAAATCCATCATTTCAATTTCTCTCTTTTGCTATAATTAAAATTCCTAAAATTACGTTATCGTTTCTCAAAGCCATAACAATTTCATTTAAAAGAAGTCTTCCTTGGTCCCTATCCAAATTCAAGGATCAGTATATCACACCTAAAATCAACATTTTACTCTTCTAGAAATTCTTCCTATACAGACTTTGTATGTGTTCTTTCACTCTTTATACACATTTTTAAGCAGCAATTAAATTTCTCCTGTAGAAAAATAAAAATCCGAAACATTATCCATGGATGCAAAGAGTGTAGTGGTAACAATGCTCTTACATGGGTGTGAAGTATGGGTGGTGAATGTTGCAACAAGAAAAAGGCTGGCAGCAGTGGAGATGTCATGTCTGAAGGCAATGTGTGGTGTGAATATAGTGCAGAGAATCCATAACTTGGAGATTAGGAGGTGCAGGGTTTCTAAAAGTATTTTTCTAAAGGCAGAGGAGGGGCTGCTGAGGTGGTTTAAACACTTAGAGAGGATGGAACAGTGTAGATTGACTTAGAGGGCATACAAATCAGAAGTGGAAGGTTGGAGGGAGGGGGTAAAGGATGTTTTGTGTGTGAGGGGCTTGGACTTCCAGTAAGCATGTGTGTGCATGTTAGATATGAGCCAGTGGAGACAAATGGGTTTTATGACTTGACATGCTACTGGAGCATGATTCAGGGAAACCGGTTAGCCAGACTTAAGTCCTGTAGGTGAGAAGTATGGTGCCTGCGCTATGAAGGAGGCGTGCTGATATGTTGCAGTTTTTTTAACAGTAGCGTAGGAATGCCTCTGACAAGACAGTGACGGAGTGAATGATGATGAAAGTGTTTCTTTGTTTTTGGGCCACCCTGCCTTGGTGGGAAATGGCCGATGTGCTAACAACAAAAAATCTAAGAAATAATTCAAAATCAACAAACAGGAAACTAGAACATCTTTTAGGATGAAGATAGAAATCTATAGGCATAAAATAAATTAAAATATTCATATTAAGAGGTTAAAAAAAGCTAAAAGCTAAACAAGACTATGATATTAAAGTTGCAAAGTAATCAAAGACAAATCCGAAAGTTTTTCCAAGTACAGTACATAGAACAAAGATTAGAAAAATATTAGGTCCACTTAACACTCACTCTGGCCAGTTTACTGACAATGTGTCCCATTATTAATAATTAGGAAGAGTGCATTAACAAGCACTGGACAATATACACAATAGGAGAAGAGGTGAAGAAACTGCTTAGCGAGCTAGATACTGTTCTTCGAAGAGATGGAACCAGATGACTTTTGTCTGCAGGTTCCAAGATAAGAAGCAGAAATGTGTGAACTACTATTTGTGATCTTCAACACTGAAGTGAAACAGGGCAGCTGTTAGAGGTCTAATAAACAGTAAATGCTGACTTGATATTTAAAAAAGGGGACAAACAGGTAGCATTAAATTACAGGACAGTGTCACTGACATGCATAATATGTAAGGTTATGGAGAGTATTATCAAGAGAATAGTAGTGGAGCACCAGAAAGGAGCAGATACATAAACCAATAGACAGCATGGCCTTAAAGATGGTAAATCCTACATAAGTCAATAAACAGCACGGCTT